GGGAGGCAGGCCCCAGGGGGGAAAGCCCAGCCCAGGGGGGAAGGCCAGGGGGCACAGTTCACGATTCGGGGGGGGGGGGGGGGAGGCCCCCAGGGGGGAGCCACGGGGGGGGAGGGTCCAGAGGGGAAGGATTCGGGGGGGGCAAGGGGAGAGGCCCGAGGCGGGGTGGGGTGGGGGGCGGGGGGGGGGGCCCGCGGTGGACACAGCTGCGGGCTCGGTGCTCGAGGCTCTCGGGGTGCTTTTTCTCCGGCCTCGGGGTGCTCTCCGGCAGCGTCGCCCGCCGGGGCGCGGAGGGGTGCGCCGAAGCACGGGCAAGGCTGGGCGGAGGGCCTGGCCCGGGGCCCAGGGGTCGAGTCGGGCACGTCCCTCTACAGGAGGCCTGTAAAACATGGTCTGGGGACGATGTGTTGACTGTGACGGACCATGTCTGGCGATTTTTTGGCTACTTCTATTCTTTCGTCCAGAATCTGCCCGACTAAGCCCAGGGGTCAACGGGGCGACCCCCAATCGCCCATCCCTCGCCGATCCGGGGTCCTGGGCGCCCCCCCCCACCCCCCACCCCTGAGGTCTCCCCCGTCGGGGGCCTGTATCCGGTCCGTGGTCTATCGGCGAGGCGCTTGGTCGAGTCCAGGTCCTTGCCCCTCCCCCCTCCCCGAGCCAGTCCCCTGCTTGGGAGCGTGAGGTCTCCCCCTGCCTGGGAGCGTGAGGTCTCCCCCGTCGGGGGCCTGTATCTGGTCTGTGGTCTATCGGCGAGGCGCTCTGTCGAGTCCAGGTCCTTGCCCCTCCCCCTCCCCGAGCCGGTCCCCTCGTTCTTCGTTCCCCCTCTTTTGGGCCCCCACGGCCCACAATGGTGGCTCAGCGTGTCGCGCCGCCAGGTCTGGCCCACCACGCCCCGGCACGTCCCAGCCCCGAAAGCGCCAACGTCCCGAGCTGCTCCCAGCCCCCCTCCCCCCGCGGAGCAGAGCGACACGCTATCAGCTCGCATGGCGCAGCGTGTCGCCAGGGCCGCCGCCGCGACACGGTGAGCACAAATTCTTAGCTGTGGCGCCCAGAACTCCGCCGTCGTGATCTCTTCTCAGCGTCGACCCCCCGAGGTCTGGACCTCTTCCTCGGGACTGGTTTTTTAGCCCCTGCCGTTTTCTGAAGGTCCCAAGGTTCGGTGAAGGCCCCTAGAGGCCCCGAACGGCGGCCCAAACCTACCGTCGCGATTTTTTCGCGACTAGAGAAGGTTGGGGGAGGGGGAAGAGGAAGAAGAGGAGGAGGAGGAGGAGAAGGAGGAGGAGGAGGAGGCGGAGGAGGAGGTGGACGCGGAGGAGGAGGAGGAGGAGGAGGACGCGGAGGAGGAGGAGGCGGAGCAGGAGGAGCAGGAGGAGGACGCGGACGAGGAGGAGGAGGAGGAGGAGGATGGGAGGAGGAGGAGACGGAGGCGGAGGAGGACGAAGAGGAGGAGGAGGAGGAGGAGGAGGAGGAGGAGGACGAAGAGGAGGAGTTGCCGCCACGCTGGGTCTCGAAGAGGAGGAGGAGGAGGAGGACGAAGAGGAGGAGGAGGAGGAGGAGGAGGAGGAGGAGGAGGACGACGAGGAGGACGAAGAGGAGGAGTTGCCGAGAGGAGGGGGGTACCGCGTGGGTCGCTATGCGATCTAGGCTCTGGAAGCGTTCCATGGGCCATGTCAGACGGGCCTCCGCCGAAGAATAATATGGTTGGCAGCTAGCCCAGGACCCGCAGTGGGCGCATCTGATGGCAAAGGCCAGGCAAGGGAGAGCCTCGGCAATGGACGTCCAACGGGAGGGGCCTCCCCCGACGAGGCATGGGGCCGCCCAGACCATGCGGGGGTGGACTTCCAACCATCCGCCTCTCCATCCACTGCCATGTCTCAGGTTCGAGTCGAGGGGGGCTCCGCAGACCGCCAGGCCCCCTCGGAAGTGGATCCCGGCCCTGGCGCCCCTGCCCCCGGAATCGGATACTGGCCAGACCAGGCTCGGAGGCACTCCGCGGGGTCTGTCGCATCGGTGTCAGCTCAGCCCCCCGCTCGCCTGCCCTCTATCTCTGAAGAGGGGCAACCAGCGACGCCTCCGAGTCCGTCGATCGAGGCCTCCGATTCTGACTGGCCCTCGAGGGGCGAGACCGGACCTGAGGTCGCCTCGTCGCCCGAGCCGGATTTGACTCGGCATCCTGGGGAGAACCAGGACGAGGGACCCAGCGCGCCCACTCCCCGAGCGGTTCGGGCGAAACTTCAGCAGCCCGACGACGTACCCAGCTGTATCCAGCGAGCCCGGACTGAGGCCAGGTCCGCGGCGACCAACCGCGAGTGGAGCGAACTCTCAGAGTCCTCGGACGCCAAAGCGCCCCCGGATCCAGCCGCCTCCCGGGTTGCCCGCCCCCGACCCAGCCACGGCCCAGATTCTGAGATCCAGCCCTAGCTCTGGCCTCAGGCAGGACATTCAGGGACTTCCCCAGGAACCTCCGGGACCGAGCTCCGAGGGACATCGCTTTGTGGCTGAGCGCGTTCAAGAGATCGAGGAGAGACTGGGTCGATCCCCTGACGGGCAGCGCGACCGCGAGCGATCTCCACGCAGAGGGAACTCTGACTTGACCTCTTTCTGGGTGACTCCGGACACGCAGGGCGCCGCGCATCTTGAGGAGGTCCCGGGGTCGGAGGAAGTCTTTGCCACGGGCCGCGGGGGGGAGACCACCTGGTCTAATCTCGCCGCTGCCGAGAGAGCGAAGTTTGACATTACAGACGCCTCTGAATGGAACAACATGGCGAGTTCCCGGGCCGCGAGGATCATGCCCCCCTCCCAGGCCAGGAAGATTCGGGAGGCGATTCCAGAGGAGATCGCGTCATCCAGGATGATCTGGAGATGGGGGCCGCAGGAGGGAACGTTCGCCGAACCTACCGCGAAATCTCGATGGTGTGTTCGTGGCCACCAGGACCCAGACACGGGATCCTTGACAGTATATATTGTCCCCCGCTCCTCAAACGACGTCGATGATGATGTTCATGCAAGCGATGATGAATTTCAACATGTTGGGGGATATCGCCGATGTGAAGAATGCCTTCACCCAGTTCGTCCGATCTTATGCGACGGGCCCGTGGCCCCCTGCATGTAGGGCCGCGTCATGGCGGGGGGGTCGATAGGGGGGGTCTCTGATCGAGCTGTCGGTGTGCGCTCACTGGTTAGACGACGCCCCAGTGTCCTGGAGGCGCGCGGCGACGAGCTTCCTCGTCGAGAAAGGATGCCGCCGCTGCCTTCTGGAGCCCTGCTGGTGGACCAAGCGAGATAAAGAGGGGGCGATCGAGAGCATGATTCTAATAGAAGTGGACGGCTTCATCATTGCCTCATTGGATGCCGATGCCAGGGCCGCCACGAGGAAAATGCTCGAATCCCGCGTCCGATTCGGGAAGTATCGTGACCTCCAGGCCGGGCCAGTAGAGTGTGCCTGACGTCGACTGACTCACAGCCCTTCCAGACTTATCGTGGGCCAAGAAGAGTATATCCTGGAAGAGTTACAACCGCTAAAGCTTTCCCCAGGACGTTTGTCTCGCAGAGACACCCCTCTCGAGGCCTCCGAGTTCAAAAGCTCGCGGTCTCTGATTTGCAAAATCAGTTGGGCGGTGCGAGAGACCCGGCCGGAGGCGGCAGGGATCGATTCAATTCTGGCGAGCCGCCTAAAAAGTCCGACGTCCTGGGACGCGATGTGCGCTATAACAAGTTAGTTCGTCATTCGCGCTCCACGGCCTCTAGAGGCCTGTTAGTTTGGAGACTCGACCCAGCTCGAATGACCTGCCTGGCCTTTTCAGACGCAGGAGGCTTCGGGGCCAGCGGGGGCCCCCTGGATTCCAAGGGCCTCCCTGAGGACCCAACCCAAGGGGCTTGGATGGTTCTCGCCGCTGACCGCGAGGTCCTGGAGAATCAGGCGGTCCGTGCCTCTCTGCTGGGGTGGAGGTCATCCAAATTGCGTCGTCGTGTCCCCTCGACTCTCGCCGGAGAGACTCTTGCCCTCGCCTCGGCAGTGGCCGAAGTCGAGTTCCTGCAGGTACTGTATAGAGACGCTGTGTACCAGGATATAGATCTTCCCGTGTGCTCTGGAGCGGTTGCTCCATTTACCATCGTATTACGCCAAGATTGCCGCCTAGGACATAGAGAGAGGCGAGTACATGTGGTAGACGCTAAGAGTGTGTACGATACTTGAGTTAAGGACGGTCTGGCCTTAGCCAAGGACCGTCGACTGCCCTGGACCTGGCGATGATATGTGACTCTCTGGAAAAATCTTCGGGAGTGATTCGATGGATACCACGCACCAAAATTCCAGTTGACCCATTGACCCAGGATAACATAACCAAAGTTTATGCGGCTCTGTTCGATCTGATGGCCTTCCGGAAAGCTGCTGCTAGTTGACGAAGCCAACGAGCTGGTTGACAGGCGGGCTGATCCACGGAGCAAAGGTCGCTCCCAAGCCGCTCCCGCCAGGGCAACCGCTCGGGCCAAAGATGGACTTCCTTCGTCGATCGTGAGGAAGTCTCTTCGTCGGGCCTGGGGACCGCCTAGCGCCCTCCTCTTTCTCCTCCTCCTCTCTTGTACGCTGTAATGTTGTTTCGCCCGTGCTGTTCTAGTCTTGCTGCGCCAGAGGCGACGCTACCTCTGGCTTGCGGAAGAGAGCAGTGCGAGGGCACTGCGTCCGCGGGTGCGTTAGCCTGCTAAGCCTACTAGAAAGTTCGACCTGTGTGGAAACCATGCTGGTTTTGTTGTTTATAGGTTTACCATGATGTAGGGCTGTGCACGGGATCCTGGGGAGAGATGTCCATGTGCACTCTCATCGGTTTTGACATTGTGGCTCAAGGCTTAAAAAGCATCTGCCGCTGCACCTGCTGCCACAGAGGAGGCGGAAAAAGGAGGAGGATGAGGAGGAGGAACAGCAGCAGCAGGAGGAGGAGGAAGAAGAGGAGTAGGAGGACCGCTCTCCTCAGCGACTCGGAAACTCCTGCGCCGCCGCCCAGGGCGCCGCGGCCGTCCCTGACAGCTCCGCCGCGGAGGGGGGCGCTGGCATTGCGGCCGACGCCAGGGACCCGGGCCGCCAAAAGGCAGCGGGGGGAGGAGAAGGAGGAGGAGGAGGAGGAGGAGGAGCAGGAGGAGGAGGACGAGCAGGAGGAGGAGGAGGAGGAGGAGGAGGAGCAGTGTAGACCCAAGAGTCACCAACGATGTTGGAATAAGCGAATAAGCCCTCCCCCCAAGCTCCCTCATAGGCCCCTGCAGCGGCTCATTTCCACAGAGGGACCTGCCTCGTTCGAAGAGATCCGTGTGAAGACCCTCAAGCATGCCAAAACATTGTTCTCGGTAGTTATTCAACGCCACGGATCAACCTGCCTGTTGCGTCTTGACGATCCGGGATCGTGCCAGAACGCCATTCCTGGGACTTCAAACCAGCGAATCATTTTAACAGTTGCGCCCCCATCATCGTGAATCCTTCCAGAACCCCATGTCTGGTACGTCGATCATGGACATATGTGAAACTCTTGCAGCTTTGCGTTCACAAGAATATGCGCGGCGCTACGGTGAGATCCACATATTGAAAAGGAGCCGCCCTCAATCCGCGAAGCTCTTGCAATGTTTAACAAGAGTGTGCGCGGCGTACATGCGAGAGCCGCAGTTTGAAAAGGAACCGCCCTCAATCCGTGAAAATCTGGCAATTGTTGAAAACGAGTGTGCGCGGCGTACAGGCGGGAACCACATTTCGAAAACCACCCGCTTTCAATCCGTGAAGGTTTTGCAAAGTTTGAAAGCAAATGTGCGCGGTGCTCAAGCGAGAGCCACATTTTGAAAAAGAGCCGCCTTGGATCCGTGAAACCTTTGCAAATGTCGAAAACGAATGTGCGCGGCGCTAAGGCCAAAGCCACATGTTCAAAAGGAACCGCCCTCAATCCGTGAAATTTGTTTTGCACATGTTCAACAAGAATGTGCGCGGCGCTCAGGCGAGAACCACATTTTGAAAAGGAACCGCCATCAATCCGTGAAAGTTTTGCAAATGTTGAAAACGAATGTGCGCGGCGCTAAGGCGAAAGCCACATTTTTCAAAGGAGCCGCACTTAATCCATGAATCTCTTGCAGATGTTGAAGGCGAATGCGCGCGGTGCTAAGGCGAGAGCCACATTTTGAAAAGGAACCGCCCTTAATCCGTGAAGCTCTTGCGCATGTTGAAAGCAAACGTGCGCGGCGCTGAGGCGAGAGCCACATTTTGAAAAGGAACTGCCCTCAATCCGTGAAACCTTTTTGCAAATGTTGAAAGCGAATGTGTGCGGTGCTAAGGCGAGAGACACATTGTGAAAAAAGGAACCGCCCCCAATCCGTGAATGGCTTGCCAATATTCAAAACGAGTGTCCGCGGCGCTGAGGCGAGAGCCACATTTTGAAAAGGAACCGCCCTCAATCCGTGAAAGTCTTGCAAATGTTAAAAACGAATGTGCGCGGCGCTACGGCGAGAGCCACATTTTGCAAAGCAACCGCCCTCAATCCGTGAAGCTCCTGCAAATGTTGAAAGCGAATATGCGCGGTGCTAAGGCGAGAGCCACATATTGAAAAGGAACCGCCCTCAATCCGTGAAGCTCTGGCAATGTTCGACAAGAGTGTGCGCGGCGCTAAGGTGAGAGCCACATTTTGAAAAGGAACCGCCCTACATCCATGAAACCTCTGCAAAGTTTGAAAACGAATGTGCGCGGCGCTGAGGCGAGAACCACATGTTGAAAAGGAACCGCCCCTCGACCCGTGAAGCTCTTGCAGATGTTGAAAGCCAATGTGCGCGGTGCACAGGTGAGAGCCACATTGAGAAGGAACCGCCCTCAACCCGTGAAGGTCTTTGCAATGTTTGACAAGAGTGTGCGCGGCGCTCAGGCGAGAGCCACATTTTGAAAAGGAACTGCCCTCAATGCGCGAAACCTTTTTGCGAATGCTGAACGCGAATGTGCGCGGCGCTAAGGCGAGAGCCACATTTAGAAAACCACCCGCCCTCCATATGTGAAGCTGTTGCCAAAGTTTAAGCTTCAGGGTCATAAGTTGTGAGGAAGTCTCAGGCGAAACCTCCGGCCAGCCCTCAAAACTGGCTTCGGGATGCGTCAGGGAGAAGTTATTTAGAAGGAGAAGGAACGGAGGAGGAGGAGGAGGAGGAGGAGGAGGATTTGGAGGAGGAGGAAGAGGAGGAGGACTAGGAGGAGGAGGAGGCGGAGGAGTAGGGAGAGGAGGAGGAAGAGGAGGAGGAGGCGGGGAGGATAAGGATGATGATGATGATGATGAGGAGGAGGAGGAGGAGGAGGAGGAGGGTGAAGAGGAGCAGAAGAAGGGGCGGCAGCGGAGGAGGAGGAGGAAGAGGCGGAGGCGGAGGAGGGGGAGGAGGAGGAGGGGGAGGAGTAAAAAAAGGACATGATGATGATAATGATGATGATGCTGATGATGATAATGATGATGATGATGACGATGACGATGACGATGCTGATGCTGATGATGATGATGATGCTGATTATTATGATGATTGTGATTGTGAGTATGATGATGGTGATGATGATGATGATGTTGCTGATGATGATGACCATCGTCATGGTCATGGTGCTGATGCTGATGATAGTGCTCATGGTAGTGGTGATGGTGGTAATGGTGATGGTGATGACGGTGATAATGGTGATGGTTATGATCATGATGATGATGATGATGATGCTGATGATGCTGCTGATGATGATGACCATGATGATGCTGATGATGACGATGACGATGCTGGTGATGATGATGATGTTGATGATGATTATGATGATGATGATGATGATGATGATGATGATGATGATGATGATGATGATGATGACGTTGATGAAGATGATGACGCTGATGATGATGATGATGATGATGATGATGATGATGATGATGATGATGATGGTGATGGTGATGGTGATGGTGATGGTGATGGTGATGGTGATGACGGTGATAGTGGTCATGGTTATGATGATGCTGATGGTGATGATGATGATGAAGACGACGAATATGCTGATGCTGATGCTGATGATGCTGATGCTGATGATGCTGATGATGATGCTGATGAGGATTAGGATGAGCATGAGGATGAGGAGGGGGAGGAGGAGGAGGAGGAGGAGGAGGAGGAGGGGAGGAGGAGGAGGAGGAGGAGGAAGAGGGGAGGAGGAGAGGAGGAGGAGGAGGAGGATGAGGAGGGGGAGGAGGAGGAGGAGGAGGAGGAGGAGGAGGAGGAGGCGCAGGATGAGGATGCGGAGGAGGAGCAGGACGAGGGCCAGGGAGGAGAAGGATGAGGAGAAGGCGGGGATGATAAGGAGGAGGAGGCGAAGGAGGAGAAGGAGGAGGAGGAGGAGGAAGAGGAGTAGAGTAGGAGGAGGGTGAGGAGGAGGAGGAGGAGGAGAAGGGGCGGAGGCGGAGGAGGAGAAGGAGGAGAAGGAGGAGGGCGAGGCGGAGGAGGAGGGAGAAGGAGGAGGAGAAGGAGCGGAAGGCGGAGGAGGACGAGGAGGAGGAGGAGGAGGAAGAGAGAAGTAGGAGGAGGGTGGAGGAGGAGGAGGAGAAGGGGGGAGGGGGAGGAGGAGGGGGAGGAGGAGGAGGAGGAGGAGGAGGAGGAGGAGGAGGAGGAAGAAGAAGAAGAAGAAGAAGAGGAGGCGGGGGAGGAGGAGGAGGAAGAGGAGGAGGAGGAGGAGGAGGAGGAGGGGGAGCAGGATAAGAATGATTGATGGTGATGGTGCTCGTGCTGGTGATGATGATGCTGATGCTGATGATGATGATGCCGATGCTGATGATGTTGTTGATGATGATGATGATGATGATGGCTGGTGGTGATGATTCTGATGACGATGTTTGTGATGCTGATTGTGATGATGATGTTGTGAATGAGGATGATGATGCTGATGGTGATGAGGAAGAGGAGAAGGAGGAGGTTGAGGAGGAGGAATAGGACCAGTGTAACCTAACACTCGCCCTCGATGCTGGACTACACCCTCCCTCCGAGCTCCCTGAAGGAGTTGCCCCGTTGGGGGGTAACCATTTAAAATCCCGAAGCGTGCCCAAACACCATTCTTAGGCTTTCATCGCCACGAGTTAACCTGATTGGAAGGTCTTCGCGATCCTGAATCGTGCCAGAACACCACTCCTGGGATTCCAACACAGCGAATCAACCTAACTGTTGCGCCCTGACAATCATGAGCTGGACCAACACACTATTCTTGGTACCTGAACCATGATAAGTCGTGAAGATACTACGAACTTTTAGAACGAATGTGCGCGGCGCGAAGGCGACAGCCACAGTTTGAACGGGAATCGCCCTCACTCCGTGAAGCTCTAAGACGAATGTGCGCCGGCCGCTCATGCGAGAATCACAGTTTGAAGATGAACCACCCGCAATCCGTGAAGCTTTTGCAAGCTTGTACAACTAATGTGCGCCGCGCTAATCCGAGAGCTGCATGTTTCAAACAGCCCGCCCTCAATCCGTGAAACCTTTGCACAAGTTGGAAACGAAAATGTGCGGTGCTATGTTGAGAACCACATTTCGAAAACCACCCGCCCTGAACCCGTGAAGCCCCTACAAGCTCTTAAGACGGATGTGAGCGGCTAAGGCGAGAGCCGCATTTTGAAAACGGCTCGCCCTCAATCCGTGAAGCTCTTGCAACTGTCTAGAACGAATGTGCGCGGTGCTAAAGCTAAAGCCACAGTTTGAAAACCAGACGCGCTCCATCTGTGAAGCTGTTTTCAATGTTCAAGCTTGAGGGTCACAAGTGATCAGGACGTCTCAGGCGAAACACTCGGCCCGCCCCTTCGACCGGCGGGGAGGAGGTACTTATAAGGGAAAAGAATGTAGGAGAAGGAGGACGAGGACGAGGACTAGGAGGACGAGGAGGACAAGGAGGAGGCAGAGGAGGAGAAGGAGGAGGCTGAGGAGGAGGAAGCAGGGGAGGAGGCAGAAGAAACGGACGAGGAGGAGATGAAGAAGGAGGACCTGTGCAAACCCAAGACTCATCAACGACGTTGCAGTCGGCCCGTACTCCAGGTTCCCTCTTCATATGTCCCTACAAGGA